TATTTCCCACCCAAGTTAGATCGTAACAATTTAATGGTAACCCCAAACTGTGTAGTGATCATAGACTGAAAGGTACGGTATATTTGGTAGAAGTCGGTTTTGTGAGTTATAAGATAAACCTAAGTATAGTGGGTTCAATCATCAACAAAAGACACGTAATATGCAAAACCCCCTTTAGTGAGAACATGAGAGGGTTTCCAGACATCAGTATGCACAAGAGAAAAATGAAAAACAGAAATAGAAGTACTTTTATTAAATGGTAAAGCTGACATTTTGACAAGTTTACACTCCGACATTCATTAATTTGATTAGGAGAAACCTTACCCAACACTCCTGACTGAGCTAAAGACCGTAAACGGTCAACAGACAAATGACCTAGGCAAGAATGCTATAAATAAAACTGACTCGACTGAGAATCTAACTGAAACGAGAAAGGTGCAATTGGAGAGATGGATAGAGGAAAATGCAAGCTTTCTACCACATAGAGATCTCCAACTCTACGACTGGTCCTAATCTGCTTCTTGGATACCTAATCCTGCACACAACAGACAAAAGAGGAAAAAATAACATTAAAACCAGAAGCATCAAGTTGACTGATAAATAATAAACTGACAGATAGCTGAAGAACATAAAGAACAGAGGGAATAATGACTGCAAACATGGCAGAGGGCAAGACAAACTCAATAGACAGAACAAACATACCAGACCTATTAGCAGTATTAATAGTAATAAGAGAGGGAGGAGGGATACAGTTTTAAAGTAAGAAAATGTGAGAAGTCATATGATAAGAAACACTATAGTCAAAAAGCCAGACAGAAGAAGATATACCAGAAGAGGACTCAAGCAAACCTAAATGAAGAGAGGTAAGAGGGGAGCAAATGGGGATGGCTGAGAGGTAGACAAGAGGTGTTGAAGCTGAGCAATCTGGGCACTCAAAGAAGCAAAGTCAGGATCTGGAGCCGGAGTATATGCAGTATAAACGGCGGGAGATTGAAAGTTATTTTGAGTAGTAGCTCGGGAGTGTGATTGAGATTGCTGAGAAAACACACAACCCTTCTTGGGACAGTTGTACTTCCAATGGCCCCTTTGATGGCAGAAAGCACACTTATCGAAAGTCAGAAGCCCTTTCTTGGGCTTTGTAGTGGCCGGAAACTGATGAGGAGGTGGGGTCGATAGTAGTGAAGGTTGGCCAGGAGCCAAGAAGATAGATAGAGACAGAGTTTGACTGGCCGTCTTAAGATGGGTTTCCTCAAAGAGGAGCTCACGAACAATAGCATCCATAGAGGGAAGAGGAGACTTGTAAAGAATGCCACCACAGATAGCGTCATACCGAAGGGAGAGAGCCATTAGGAACTGCACTAATCGACTCTGCTCCTGAAACTCAATATAAGTATCTAGACCCTTGAGGCTAGATGGTTCCATAAGAGCCAACTGATCTCAGAGACCTGTCATTTCAATATAGAAGTCTTAAATAGACTGATCTCGCTGACAAGCACCCTAAATAGCTGTTTCCAACTCATACCGCTTAGCAAAGTTGGACTGCTGATAAACACTATGTAAATAATCATATACCTCCTTAGCAGTACTGTATTTAGAAAACATCATCCCAATACAGTCATCCACAGAATTATGAAACCATGTCAGAACTTGGGCATTATCACAATCCTAAGTATCACTGGAAGTCAGATATCCTTCCTTCTTCGGATTCGATAAACGAGGAACTAAACCGGAAACATAACCTCATTTTTTTTTACTAAGAAGAAAATTCTTTATAACGCTGGCCCAATAAGCATAATTGGAACCAGTGAATTTACAGCTGACAGCTTAGATTTTGGTGTCCGACATTGTAATAAACTAGAGATGGATTAAAGTGTAATAAAGAGAGAATTAATAGGTCAAATAGTAATAAGCCGAGAATTGAAGTTTAGGTCTATAATAAACGAAGAGCAATACAACGAACATAGAGAGAGGACAGAGAAACATACACACCAAATCCAGATGGAGCAGACGAAGGAACAGAGAAACCGTGGTGATGTATCGACCCAAGAGAGGCATTGTCGTTTGAGCAGACCCTACGAACCACGATGGGTGTTTGAGTAGCTGAACCAGAGAGAGAGAGAGAGAGAGGCCAAAGCCCTCGCGATCAAATCAGAGGCCAACGAACCAAAATTAGAGACCAAACTTCGCTCGAACAGACCCGACGAACAACGATGGGTGTCGAGTATCTAAACCAGAGAGAGAAAGAGATGAAAGCCCTTGCGATCGTGATCAGGCCAAGAGTCAAGAGTCACAATTTCACACTAGAGACAAGAGGCTATCACGACGTCGTAGAACCATCGAGAGAACTTCTAACAATCAAGGCTAGACCTAGGGTTTTGGCTCTGATACCATGTAATTTTTCTGTATATTCAATTGTATTATAATACAAAGAATACATCTGATTATATAGTAATCCTAACCCTAAGACTAAAAAGGAAAAGAAACACTACTGTATATATATACAATCTCTCAGAATATATACATAATATACACTACCATATATATAAACGTAACCTAATATTCTCATAGTATGATCATATACAACGAAAACCAACTGAGGCAGTAGTGAAGCAATGCAATACAATGATGGTAGATGGTAGTGTTAAGAGAAGGGGCAGACCTAGATTGACGTAGACTAGTGTAGTGAATAGAGATATAAATCTCCTTAATTTGACTAACGAATGGCCTTGGATAGAGTCGAGTGGAGAAGACGGATTCATGCAATTGACCCCAGTTGATGAGACTTAATGCTTGGTTTGGTTTATAAGAATTCTTTTGGAGGGCCCAAGCAAAGACATGTTCTATGTCCCATGCATCTTGTAACCAATTTTAAATTGTTGACCACCGATTCATCTAAAAACTTAAGTTGTTAGAGAGAGGAGCAACTTCAATATTTATATCTCCGAACACCCCCTCACACGTGGCAAGACTTTCTTTAATAACCAGGACAAACATGTGTACAATATTATATTTTCTAGTAGCCGGTGAGGTTTCAACACATGATGTATTGTTTGTTCTGATACTATGTTGAATTGTTGATCATTAGCTCATATAAAAGTTAGAGCTGTTAGAAAGAGGGACAACTTTATTATTTATATCTTCAACACATACACAGTGGGATTGTATACAATTTTGCAAAGGCTAGGGCCCTTGCTTTCCCTCCATCCCTGGACCTAACCAAACTTTTCATGAAAAGGAAACTATGTATTCATTACTAGAAAATGAAATTTTGTACTCATTACTTAAAAATCACAAGCTCTAATAAGGTAGGATTATTTCCTTCTTAAGCTTAGATGTCCAACTTTCATCATGTGTCAATGGTGTAGTGGAAATGCGAAATGGAAACAATCTAAGGACCCGTTGATTTATAAAAGAATGCCAGAAGCAAGATCCTTCTCTAGAATCAATCACAAGGAATATTGAGAACAAAGACTCAACAATGGTTAATTCTCGAAAGAATACCAAAGGTTGGAAGAAGAGTAAAACTCAAAATTGTATTAATTATCTAAAACTCATTAGCCGTAAGGCTTACAATGATTATTTATATTGAAAAGCAAACCTAATGAGCTAAGAAACAACCAAAATCGACAGTTCCCTAACTGGCAATGCAGAAATAAGTAAAAATACAATGAAAATGACCAGAAATGGAAATATTGAAATGAAATAAAGAAACTACTAATTTAGCTGCTACGATAACGGCAGATTCGAAGGAATCGAATTCTGACTTCTATGCTAAAGAGTAATTGAAGTTGCAAATCTTTCCTAGAACTGCAAAATCTTGAAACTGATGACATAAATGACAAAATTTGCCCAAAATTCAGCGGGTGGTTTCTGATCAGAATGACATTTTTCATCAACTTATGAAATTTCACGCAATTCTGAGCTAGGGCTGTTTGAATCCTATTAGTGCCTTTTGCCTTGTTTGGCCACATGCCTATCCCATTGGTCCAAGAATTGTATGGCCAAACACGCTGCATCAGTCAGGATTTCTAACAAAATTAGTGAATTATGTCTTTGAATTTCAGTGCCCTTTCACATGGTTGGTTATTTAGATCTTCAGATTTGTTGTTATTCATAGGTTGTGAATCCAACAACTCACTTCCATCTTCCTGATGTTTCAAACTCTGTTATGTGTATGTGCTCTAAACAAAACTTATAAACATGTTTCTTCATCCTGGAGGCTGTGCAATGTTGAATTTATAGTTTACTTTTGTGGGTTGTGTTTATGGCTTTTGAGTTTGGTCTATCTTGCAATTATCATCTTTGCATCTTTGCATCTTTGTCTTTCACCATTTCTAGCACAAGCAAAAAAAGTTAAAAATAGTACTGCAAATTAAAGCTCATAACTTCACTCAAAAATCATGCCACATGTAATCAAGTACAGGGATTTAACAATGTTGAGGTTCATAACTATTGAGGGTATTTTTGTCAATGTATCAGACACTTTTTAATATAAATAGTGAGAGGAGCTAACCCTAGGGATTGAGCTCTCTTTCTTCTACTCTCTTTTCTCTCTCTACTTCAACAATAACCCTATTCTGTCAGCTTGCTGGCAACAATGACTTCACAAGAAAGTGATAAGAACTCCATTTGTTTGGCATGGACTTGGAAACTAATACTAAAATGAACCTCAGTTACCCATTGACCTATCATCATATATAATAAAAGGTAATGATGCCTGAATTGCTTGAAGTAATTCTTGCAGTTTTACAAGTACTAGTACGATTATTATCTTGTCTAGTGCCATCATGGTGGCAATATACCATGTAGTCTCACATGCATCTTGCTTGAAATTGTTTCTGTTATATTATTTGCCAAATGCAATTTGAAGTATTTGAAAATTCTTGGAATTATTTTATTCAAGTTGTATGTTGTGATTTTTTCAAAAATGTGACTAGCTCAGTAATGGCAGGTGCTACTTTTTCTCTTTATTGTTTTAAGATAATTTTCATCTGTAACAGGTCCAGTTGGAAGTATTACCTCAGTTACTCTGAAGAGCCTTAATTTGTCTTCCAATAAGCTGTCAGGCCCGTTGCCCACCAAGGTAGGGCACTGTGCCATCATCGATCTGAGTAATAATTTGTTTTCAGGGAATTTATCCACAATCCAGACTTGGGGGAATTATGTGGAAATTATTGAGTTAAGTTCAAATTTGTTGATGGGAAGCTTGCCAAATCAAACTTCTCAATTCTTGAGGCTAACTTCGTTCAAGATATCCAATAACTCAATAGAGGGTGTTCTCCAACCCGTGTTAGGTACTTACCCGGAACTAAAAGTGATTGATTTTAGCCTAAACCAGCTTAATGGTATCCTCCTTCCCAGCTTCTTCAACTCTTCAAGATTGACTGTTCTTAACCTGTCTTATAACAACTTCACTGGGCCCATACCTCTTCAGCCTTTCCCAAACACATCTTTTGTAGATTCCATCCAAAATCTGAGCCTCGTGTCTCTTGATCTGTCACATAATTCTTTAACCGGCCATTTGCCCCCAGAAATTGGGAATTTCCATAACTTGGCTTATCTTGACCTGTCTAATAACCATTTTGAAGGTGGCATCCCTAATGACCTTCCTGATGGACTGAAAATATTCAATGTGTCTAGTAATAATTTTTCCGGTATTGTACCTGAAAACTTGCTAAAATTTCCTGATTCATCATTCCATCCTGGAAATTCCTTACTGATCTTTCCTTATCCTCCATCTTCACCAACACATGTTCCAAACTTAACTTCAAGAGGGCATAGGCCTCATATGAAGTCAGCTACTAGGGCTGCACTTATTGCTGGTTTGGTGGGTGGTGCTTCTATCATAATGCTAGTGGCCCTAGTGATCCACTACAGAACACATTCGAAAGGCATTGATGAAAGGAAAGGGACCCAACAAGAGATTTCTTCGCAAAATGTTGACCCATCAACGTCATCACAACTGGCTTCTTCTTTACATGAGCAGAGGGAAACTTCATCAGTTGTGCAGAGACCAAAAGGTCTTGGCCTACCAGAATCAATAATGAAAAATGAAGGATTAGCTTCTTCATCTACTAATCCATTGCCTTCTAAGAACCAAGATCTATCCGACAATCCTGGTTCACTCAAGGTTTTTTCTCCGGATAAGTTGGCTGGGGATCTACATCTGTTTGATGGCTCATTGGTGTTCACTGCGGAAGAATTTTCATGTGCTCCTGCAGAAGTTATCGGCAGGAGTTGTCATGGTACACTGTATAAAGCTGTGCTAGACTCTGGTCATGTATTGGTTGTGAAATGGTTAAAGGAGGGGATGACAAAAGGGAAGAAGGAATTTGCAAGAGAAGCCAAGAAGCTTGGGAACATCAAACATCCAAATTTAGTTTCTCTGCAGGGTTATTACTGGGGACCAAAGGAGCACGAGAAACTGATAGTATCAAATTATATAAATGCACCATGTTTGGCCGCTTATCTTTATGGTAAGATTCTGTATTCTAAAGTCGAAACAACTTAGTGGTGGGGGGTACATTCACATGTCCTATCCCGGAATTTGCTAAACCTGAAGTCAACTTGATTGGAAAAGTATAAGCATCTGTTCTATCACATCCTTTCAGATGATTAGAAAAATGTTTTAGTCGTCGTAAATGACTGAACTGAGCTGTTAGGGTTAAATCTGATTGATTATCAACCACCTATGTCTAACAGGCAGAATTCACATATTATAACTCATAGCTTGAGTTTAGAAGAAAACATCAATTCACATCCTATGTTTATACAAATGATAAATGACCTTAAGCTTTCCATACTTCATGATGTGTTGAGTTCTTAATCTTAATTTAACTTGGCTTTTGGCTTTTCCTTTGGTCGATCTTATAGTAATATTACCTTGATGGTTTCCTAAGTATTGACTTATTTATTAAGAACATCTATGGTTTTGTGCTATGCACCAAGAAATGCTACCAAGGATGCCCCAACCTAAAACTAGTTACCTCCTACATATCTCATTCAGATTCAGCTGTTAGTTCACTTGATCAATAGATAGATTGTAGCGTAAAACTAAGAACATTATGTTTGTCAGGAGTCAAATTTGTTGCGTAATATTTAGTTGTTTTGATTTATAGAGTTTGTAAATTTTATCAATCGCCATCTTCAAAAAATTTCAGTCATCTAATAGAAACCATTGAATCAAGCTATCTGAATTGATTTGATCATCCTTATTTCCCTCGTGTTGATTTGTTTGCTGTTATTGTCAAATTATGGGTTGTTTATAGTCAATATAATTTGCTACACTGAACTGCTATTTTATGTGATTACTAGGAGTAAATGCAATACTCAAATCAAGTGTTTTGTGAAGCAATTTGGCTAACATTTGTTTTTTTCCCTTCTATCAAGGATAGTTAATTAAACAGGAAATAAAACCGAGTACTGCTTTCACTCTTTTCTTATTGTAACCTTGCATTTCATTAAGCTGACGTGAGACCTTGGGTTGCAATGCACTGATATATATATATATCAATCTCACACTTAATCACTTCTTATTGTGTATCTTGTAAATTTGATTTTGTGAATCAAAGTTGCATGGAATTTTCTATTCCTCCTAGTTTACCCGTGTATATGATGAGGGCAAGAGAATGAAGTATGAGTCCAATCCCTATACCTAAACTAGACACTGGGATCCTATGTTATCATTGTACTCCTATTTTTTAATGTTCCCCTAATCCCTTTTAATTTAAAGTACAATAATAACATCTTATGGCTCAATATTTGTTTTTTTTTTTGTAGATAGTGATCTTATGTCTCGATATTAAAAAAAAAATGAAAAGAATTATTTGGCTTTTCCATGAATGAGATAGAGGCCATATATATAATAGATTCATGATACAATTTAGGAAACGATATAAATAAAGAAATAATACTAAATTAGTAATTGACACAATCACGGATTATATACATAATACTAAAAATAAAAAGATTCTACGTACTCTAATTTCTATATTCAACATATTATTCACTATACGATATGTTTAAATGTTAAAGGCATATCCAAGTACCCAACTTTTTGATAAATCCTTGTATGCTAAGATTTTAGGGTTTATGGAAGATTGACATTTGGAGAATACACATACACAACTTGGCTATGATCACAAAACTAGGGTCTTCTTGTCATCATGGCTGTCTCAAATTTTGAATTTTGAATTTCAAATAGTTACTAGTTATAATATGTTCTTTAATAAATCTTTTTATTTTTTTCTAATACGGTGGCAATGTTTGTTTCTGTGGTTAGAGCATATGTAGTGGAAGTGTTAAAGCCTTCATCAGCTAGCTCATTTTTTTGTGCTTCAATGGATTATTAAGTCACATGTTAAATTGCCAACCATTAACTCAGCCACTAATTGTGGCTACCCACTTAAAATGTAAAAATTGGGCCCCTCACATCTTAACAAACCAAAATGGGTCCGATTTTTGTCCATACGTGCACTTTAACACACTAATATTTTGCTAATTGTCACAATGCTAATTTTCAAATTTTAGCTTGTGATGGCACCAAGATCCCACACTTGGTCTTAGCCGATTTCCAAAAGGATAGGCAACACGGTAGACATTTTGTCTCATCCTCTATTGGCTAGCTACATTTAGAGAGCCTTGGAAGCTAGGCAAGCCAACTTTAGGAATAGAGATTGTTGTTGGAGAGTATACACTAGGAAAAACGGTTAGACAAAATACAAAATGTACTTTCTTTTTAATTTTTTTTTATGTACTACTTAGAAAATATGAGGAAGAAGAACTCCGAAAATATGAGGAAGAAGGAATATATTTCTGTTATATTCAAAACTTCTTATTTTACAAGACCAAATGACACTCCTTATATAGGAGATATTACAAACATCATTATAACCCATTCAATCATATTGTAAAAATTTGTGAATAAATTTTTCACGTCAGATTTTTTATTCATCAAATAAATCCAACATAAGCGGGTATGGTCATCAATAAATGTAACAAACCATCTTTTACCAGAAAGAGTAGTGATTTTAGAAGGGCCCCAAACATCACTATGAATCAAATAAAAAGGTTTGGAAGCCTGGTAAGGTTTTGGCAAATAAGTAGAGCGATGAAATTTTGCAAAAATGCAACTTTCACAATAAAAAGAAGAACAATCAATCCCTTTAAATAATTCTGAAAATAAA